GGCTTGAGTGCAGTGGTGCAATCATGGCTCACTGGGCAGGGCACAGTGGCTCCAGCCTGTAATCCTAGCACTTTGGGAGCTTGAGGCAAGCGGACTGCCTGAGCTCAGGAATTTGAGACCAGCCTGGGCAACATGGTGAAACCATGTCTCTACTAAAATACAAAAAATTAGCCAGGTGTGGCAGCATGCGCCTGAGGTCCTAGCTACTTGGGAGGCTGAGGCAGGAGAATCGCTTGAACACGGGAGGCGGAGGTTGCAGTGAGTCGAGATTGCACCACTGCACTCTAGCCTGAGCGACAGAGTGAGACTCTATCTCAAAAAAAAAAAAAAAAAGAAAATCATGGTCACTACAGCCTCAACATCCATCCTCCCGGAGTAACTTGGGATCACAGGCACGCACCACTAACGCCTGGCCTAATTTTTTGTATTTTTAGTTAAGTGGGAGCTGTCTACCACTGTGCCCCATTTGCCGTTCCCCCACGATACCCGTGGGTCCCCCGCCGCCAAGCTTCCTCCACCTGGCGCCCTCCTGAAGTGCTGGGATTCAGGCATTGAGGCACCACGGCCCGGGCCATGCTGCAATTTCTACACATAGCCCTCCTCTTCCATGCCCCCGAGGGCCTGCATTTTTTCTTTTCTTTTCTTTTCTTTTTTTTTTTTTTTGAGATAGAGATCTCGCCCTGGTCACTCAGGCTGGGTGTGCACGTGGCGCGATCTCAGCTCACTTGCAAGCTCCGCCTCCTGAGGTTCACACCATTCTCCTGCCTCAGCCTCCTGAGGTACCTGGGAACTATAGGCACCCGCCACCACGCCTGGCTAAGTTTTTGTATTTTTAGTAGAGACGGGGTTTCACCATGTTAGCCAGGATGGTCTCGATCTCCTGAACTCGTGATCTGCCCATCTCGGCCTCCCAAAGTGCTGGGATTACAGGCGTGAGCCACCGCGCCCGGCAACGCTGCATTTTTCTAGCCACTGCCATGTTTCTAAGACTTGCTGTCTCACTTCTGCCTCTGCCACATTTCTCCAGTTGGCTGCTTTCCTCCCTGAGACTACGGCCTTGGTTCTGGGCCTGCTGCCACAGCAGTGAAGCAGCCCCACTCCTCGCCGACCTGGCTTTCTCCTGCCCCGAGCCTCACTCTGAGGTCCCTCCCCCTCCCAGCTGTTGTCTGCCCTTTTGCTGGGGGGGATATTCTTAGGCCCCCAGCACGTGGGAAGCAGCTGCCCTCAGGAAGGGACTGGGCTGCTCTGGGTTCCCTTAGGGACACAGTCGGGCCTGAATGGATTCCAGACCCCACCCCAAACCAGAGGCTGTGAATGAGTGAAGGAATCACAGTGCCTCTCCGTCCCGGGCCCGGACCTGTCTGTCCCTCAGCCCTGCTGCCTGATGGCTTTCTCCTTGGACAACAGTGTGTCTCTTTCCGTCTTCATCCTGGGGCCCTAGAACTCCCCCTCCTCTCTAATCCCTGATCTGCCCATCTCAGACTCTGTCCTGTGGATCTGTCCGCTGACCTCTCCTCTCTTCCCCGATATTCCATGCTTCTCTCTCCTTCTAGGACTGACTTTCTGAAACATCTGGCGGCCTCTCTTCTGTCTCTAGTCTGTCTATTACTCTTGCCCATGGCTCTATCCACCCTTCTCCCTTTGTCGGCCTGCCCCCCTCACTCTCCAAGCTTGTCTGTTAGTAACAATAGTGATGATGATCATAATAATAACAATGACAATCACTGCCCACACACGGTGCTAACTTCATGCCAAGAACTCTACTAACCACTTTATCCTTATTAACTGCTTCCTCCTCCTCACACCTCTAGAAGGTAGATGCTATTAGCATGTCCATTAGCCAAGGACACACAGGGGCAAGTGGAGGGGTGAACTTGAACTTCAGGCTCCAGAATCCTGTTCCTGCCTGAACCAAGGCCCACTTCTCCCCAGCTCTGCCTGGCTGACTGGCTTTCTTTTATGAGACAGAGTCTCGCTCCATCGCCCAGGCTGGAGTGCAGTGGCCCAATCACCGCTCATTGCAACCTCTGCCTCCTGGGTTCAAGCGATTCTCCTGCCTCAGCCTCCCAAGTAGCTGGGATTACAGGCGCGCGCCACCATGCCCAGCTAATTTTTGTATTTTTAGTAGAGACAGCGTTTCGCCATGTCGACCAGGCTGTCTTTCCGTCTTGCTCTTTTTCTGTCTGTGCGTGAGGACCTTGGCCTCTTGGATCTCCGTCTCAGTCTGTCTCATACTTGCCATCTGTCTGTCCATTTGCCCATGTCTGGGATCCACCCGCCCACTTCCAGGCCCTGCATCTGTCTGGGTGTCCTATCACACCTCCTTCCTGTGTCCAAGCCTGCCTCGCTCTCTGGCTAGGGCTGTCCACCCTGCCCCCTCTCTGTCTGTGGCTCCCACCCTGACGGCAGGCTGTCCACCCACTTCTGCCCTGGGCTGGGCCATGTCCCACCTTGCAACCCTTGCTGTTCATGGAATCCAGTGTCTTCTTCAGGGCCGGGGTGGGGGCCTCCAGCAGTTCCACCTGGGTCCTCACGCTCTGCTCCGTGTACGGCCCCACCAGGTAGTAGTTGTCGCCCCATTCGTCCCCCGTCACCTTCGCCTTCGTCTGCAGCACCGTGTAGATGCCACCCACTGTGGGCCCAAGCGTGTGAGGGCAGGCCCCGGCCGAGGTCCATAGTTCTGGGGCCTGGGGTGGGGTGGGCCGGGGATATAGGGGGCACTCAGGCCCCAGACGGCTAGCTCAGGGGGATGAGGGGACTGGGAGCCCGTAGTTTGGAGTAGGGGTTGGAGGCTTGGATAAAGGGAACCGGGGGACTGGGGGGCAGTTCTCCTGGGTCTAAGGGAGAAGGGGGCCGGGGTCAGGACTCTGAGGGAGGAGGGGGCTCAGGCTAGACTTCTGGGTGTGAGAGAGAAGGAGCTGGGGGCTGGGACCCCTGGGTTAGAGGGAATTAGGTACTGGGGCTCTAAGGATGGCAGACCTGAGGACTACCTGGACCCAGGTTCTCGAGTTCCCAGCTCACAGGAGCTGGGTTTAAATCACTCCAAAACCCCATGAGGGAGACCTCCTCATGGCCAATTCAGCTTCTCACCATTGCCCAAGAGAAGCCTGCATGGTCATTCCCTGCCCCCAGGGACCCTGCTGACCTGCCTCCCAATTTCCTCTCCCTGACTAGGGACACGAACATGCAGGGCCCTGCCTCTCCCATGACCCCATCCCAGACCCAGGAGCCCCAGCCCCCAGCCTCCTCCCCTCCTAGAGCCCAGGCCCTGGCCATATCCGGCTGTGTGTTCATCGGCCCCCTGTCCTCCTGGGAGACACAGTCCCTTTCCCGTCCAAGACCCAGCAAAACAACCCCCAGAGCCTGCTCTTTGAGGTGTGAGATTGGCTTGTTCCTGGGGATTTCAGCCCCAGCCTTCTCCAAGGCCAGAACCTCAGCTTTTGAAAGCCCAAGACACAGAAATGCGGGCTCCTGGCCCCTCCCATCCTAGGGCCCAGCCCCTGACTAACTCAGGACTTCCCAGCCTTCCCCTATTCCAGCATGCACGTGTCCCAGGCCACGGGCTCCTCTACTCCTAGGAACTAATAGCTCAGGCCCTCAGCTCCTTGAAAGCCCAGGCATTCAGGCCCGCAAGCTCTCCCACCCTAGGATCTAAGGATTAGAGTATCCAGCCCGTCCCATCTTTATTCTTAAGCAGCCAGGTCCTCAGGTCCTCCCACCGCCGCTCAGGCCTCCTATCTCCCAGTCAGCGCTCTCTCAAATCTGGAGTTTTATCCCCTAGACTATGCTATTAGGGTCACAGGTCTGAAACCCCGGCAGCTTCCCAGGCTTGCACACAGAAATCCCATCCCTCCGTCTCCTTCCCTGTTCAGGACCCAGGTATCTAGTCTCTCGGAAGCCTCCCTCCAGGACCTAGGAGTCTCATTTTAGCGCCCTCTTCCCTAGGACCCAGAACCCGGGCTTTCAGCCTCCTTTCATCGCAAGTCAAACTAACCATCCCTCTCCCACCCACCTCCGGCCTCCCAGCCCCTCAAGGACACAGGAGTCACAGCCTCCTTGTCCTGGTCCCAAGGGTTCCCCTAGTAGCCCCGTCCTCCTACAATTCAGAGTTCCGGGCCCCCATCCACTACTGTCCTTCTCTTCAAGGGCCCCGACGCCTGGCGTGCTCACCCTTGTTGGCCACCTCCCAGGCCACTTCGAAGAGCACTGTGTTCTCCAGGTCGAATTCATCCTCCCAGTCCTCCAGTCCTGGCAGTGAGGACATGGACAAAGTGCGGTTTAAAGGCATGGCTGGCGCAGGAAGGGGGCTCCGGGGACCTCAAGGTAGGGACCCCGGAGGTGTCCAGGGAATGCACCAGGTAGGGTGCGGGGCCGAGTAGCTGGCGCCCGACGGGAAGCTTGCAAGACGCCCAGCTTCCTATTGCAAGACCGCACCCCCGCCCCGAAGCCTTCGGACCTAGGCAGAAGGCGGCCGCAGCGTCACTGAGCCCAGTGGCACCCCTGCAGTGAAACCTCGTAGCGGTCAGGAGGCAGTGGCCGCCCCCGCAGCCAGCGCCATTGGCTCACGCCCGGGGGCGGGGATTTCCGCGTGTCCTCATTGGTGGAACGGGTTGGAGTCGCTGTGTCCCGGCCCCGCCTCGGCCCTGAGAGCTCCAGGGGGCGGAGCTTACCGCTGCGCTCTACGGAAACGATTGGCCTTCAGCTCTGTCAATCTGAAGCTGGAGGCCTCAAAGTGGTGGGGGGGGGAGGAGGGTGGGATAAAGAGGAAAGGAGCGTGGAGGACGTGTGGTTACTCAAAGAACAGCTAAGAATTTTGCAATCAGCCTGAGCGGGGCGGTGGTGGGGCTGAGCAAAAGGAGGAGGAGCCAGGAGGCATCGGGAATGGACCCAGGAGTTCCGGACACCCGTCTTCCAGCGCAGCCCCTGTCGGAGGGCGGGACCTAAAGTCCCGTCACGCCCCCACAAGATTTACATATTTATGAGGAACCATCGAGATCTTTGGAGAACCAGCTAGCCTAGAGGAGCCAGAACATCTCGCTCCCCGCGCGTTTCCGTTTCCGCTAGGACACTGGCGGTTGGTGAGCATCATGGCAACCGTGGTAAGTGTGGGTGCATGGATGGTGAGGAGCGAGCTCGCAGTCTCGAGTTTGAGAGAGAGGGATGCTGGAGGCCCTCACTCCTGGGTCTGAGGGAGGAGGGATCTGGGGGTCCAGACTCCTGGTTCTGAAGGAGGAGGAAGCTTAGCCTCCCAGATCTGGGGGACAAGGGGACATGGGGGATGGACTTTCTGGATCTGAGGGAAGGAGGGAGCTGGGTACCAGGGCTCCTGGGTCTGGGGGAGTGAAATAAATAAGGGGCTGGGATCCCGGAATCTCAGGTCTGCCCCATCATGCTATAGGAACTCCAACTTTCAAAATCCTCTTGGCGCAACGGCCGGTTCCGCAGTCCTTGGCGCCAGTGTGATGAGGAATATTGTAGGACCTTGCGCTTCGAGCCATTTGGGAGCCTTGGACTGTTAGTGGTGCTAATGGCACTTGAGTTCCAAGCTGGAAGCACAGGCGGGTACCTGTTCTGTGTGTCTGAGAGCTCGAGGGCGCCTAGTGAATCTTTAGTGGGAAGAAATTGTCGAGGAACAAGAGTCTTCTTGGAGAGGACTAAAAGATTAGGGACCCAGAAATCGGGATCTTGTCATGCGACCGTTTTGGCCATTTTCATATTTCCAGTATTTCACACGGGCTATGTCTCGGTGTAAATGCTCAATGAATTATCACTTGAATATTTGAATGAATGAATGCACGTGAATGAAGTAGAGGCCAGGAAACGGCCTGGCACCTGCTCAAGAAATACCTGAATAAAGAAGTGATTTTGGCCGGGCGCGGTGGCTCAAGCCTGTAATCCCAGCACTTTGGGAGGCCCAGGCGGGCGGATCACTAGGTCAGGAGATCGAGACCATCCTGGCTAATACGGTGAAACCCTGTGTCTGCTAAAAATACAAAAAATTAGCCAGGCGTGGTGGCGGACGCCTGTAGTCCCAGCTACTTGGGAGGCTGAGGCAGGAGAATGGCGTGAACCCAGGAGGCGGAGCTTGCAGTGAACCCAGATGGTGCCACTGCACTCCAGCCTGGGCGACAAAGTGAGACTCTGTCTCCAAAAAAAAGAAAAAGGTGATGTGACTTGAACTTAGGGACTGGGCTGGGCTTCCAGGTGCCTCAGTTTCCATGATGAGCCCAGTCAAGATGGAGGAAGGGAGGGAGAGAAAGTTGCTGGTAGCTGAGGGTGAGATTTGAGTCTGTTGCTGTCACCAGGGCAAGGAGGAGGAGGAGGTGGATAGGGAAGTAGAAGAAGAAGGCTATGACCAGAACTTCCGTGGAGAAAGTATTGGAAGTATGAGGGGATGGTGGGTACTGAGTTTTGAAATGATCTTGGTTTTCATGGGACCAGTGGGCAGCAAGGTTTTGGAGAGACTTACGGTGAAAGAGAAAGTCTTTGTAGGAGACAGTCCTTGGTAAGGGGCCTGTTTATGTTGACAGAGCTAAATTTGGGATTCCTGGATTCATGTCTTTTTTGTGGGATGGGGATGCTTAGTCTTCTGGTTGTAGTCTGGGGGTAATGTCCTATGTTCCTGAGTTCCAGCTTTCTATAGGAGACAGTAGGTGGGAAGATTCACACAGTGACAGGGAAGGCTTGTGACCATTGATGGCCAGAAAGTCTAAACGATTGGCTCCAGAGGGAGGAGGCTTCCTCTGGGCTAGATAACTGCATGTCCTCTCCGGTGGAAGAAGAAAAGAAAGATCTGTGGGCTGGGCACAGTGGCTCACGCCTGTAATCCCACACTTTGGGAGGCCGAGATAGAAGGATTGCTTGAGCCCAGGAATTTAAGACAAGTCTTGGCAACATAGTGAAACCCTGTCTCTACAAAAAAAAAAAAAATAAGAAAATTAGGCTGGGTGTGGTGGCTCACACCTGTAATCTTAGCACTTTGGGAGGCTGAGGCGGGCAGGTCACGAGGTCGGGAGTTTGAGAGCAGCCTGGCCAATATGGTGAAACCCCATCTCTACTAAAAATACAAAAAAAAATTAGCCGGGCGTGGTGGCACATGCCTGTAGTCCCAGCTACTCTGGAGGCTGAGGCAGGAGAATTGCTTGAACCCGGGAGGCAAAGGTTGCAGTGAGCCAAGATCGTGCCACTGGGTCGACCCAGCCTGGGTGACAAAGTGAGGCTCTGTCTCAAAAAAAAAAAAAAAAAAGAAAGAAAGAAAAAAATTAGCCAAATGTGGTGGGACTCACCTGTAGTCTCAACTACTTGGGAGGCTGAGGTGGGAAGATTGCTTGAGCCTGGGAGGTAGAGGCCACGGCAGTCCAGCCTGGGTGACAGAATGAGATCTTGTCTCAAAAAAACAAAACAAAACAAAACACACAAACCTGTGGGAAGGAAGGAGAGTTGGGGATAGGTGGCCTAGGTTAGCGTGCTGGCTTCTTAGGCTTCCTTTTCCTCCTTAGAAATTATAAACTATTCCTCGGGAGGCTGAGGCAGGAGAATGGCATAAACCCAGGAGGCGGAGCTTGCAGTGAGCTGAGAGCCGGCCACTGCACTCCAGCCTGGGTGACAGAGCGAGACTCCATCTCAAAAAAAAAAAAAAAAAAAAGAAATTGTGAACTGTTCCGAAGTGTCAGAAAATAATGTTATAGACATGCAAAGATCCAGCATCCAGGATTGTTTTTTTGTTTTGCTTTTTTTCAAGACAGAGTCTCACTCTGTCTCCCAGGTGTAGTGCAGTGGTGTGATCTTGGCTCCCTGCAGCCTCTGCCTCCCAGGTTCAAATGATCCTCCTGCCTCAGCCTCCTGAGTAGCTGGGACTACAGGTGCACCACGCCCAGCTAATTTTTGTATCTGTGTGTGTGTGCGTGTGTTAGTGATAGGGTCTTGCTCTGTCACCCAGTCTGGAGTGTAGTGGTGCGATCTGTGCTCACCACAACCTTCTCCTCCTGGGTTCAAGCAATTCTCCTGCCTCAGCCTCCCGAGTAGCTGGGATTACAGGCCCGTGCTACCACGCCCAGCTAATTTTTGTATCTGTGTGTGTGTGCGTGTGTTAGTGATAGGGTCTTGCTCTGTCACCCAGTCTGGAGTGTAGTGGTGCGATCTGTGCTCACCACAACCTTCTCCTCCTGGGTTCAAGCAATTCTCCTGCCTCAGCCTCCCAAATAGCTGGGATTACAGGCACCCGCCACCACGCCTGGCTAATTTTTTTGTATTTTTAATGTAGACTGGGTTTCATATTGCCCAGACTGGTCTCAAACTCCTGACCTCAAGTGATCCACCTGCCTTGACCTCCCAAAGTGCTGGGATTACAGGTGTGAGCCACCGTGCCTGGCCTAATTTTTGTATTTTTAGTAGAGACAGGGTTTCACCATGTTGGCCAGGCTGGTCTTGAACCCCTGACCTTAAGTGATTTGCCTGCCTCAGCCTTCCAAAGTGCTGGTATTACAGGTGGGAGCCACTACGCCCAGCCTGTTGTTTTTTTTCTTAATAGCTTTATTGAGATAGAATTCACATACTACATAATTCACCCATTTAAAGTATACAGCTCAGTGTTTTCTAGCATATTCACAGTTGTGCAGCCATTTCCACAGTCAATTTTAGAACATTGTCATCACCCCAAAAAGAAATGCCGTGCTACTTACCTGTCACCGCTAATCCTCCCGTACCTCCCGTCTTCAGTTCTAGGCAGCCACTAGTCTTTCTGTGTATATGGATTTGCCTATTGTGGCTACTTCCTATAGCCACATACAATACGTGTCTTTCGTGTGTGGCATCTTTCAGTTAGCATAACGTTTTCAAAGTTCATCCACGTTGTAGCATGTATTAGAACTCCATTCCTGGCCAGGAGTGGTGGCTCACACATGTAATCCCAACATGTTGGGGCGCCAAGGCTGGTGGATCACCTGAAGTCAGGAGATCAAGACCAGCCTGGCCAACATGGTAAAACCCCATCTTTACTAAAAAATACAAAAAAACAAATTAGCCAGGTGTGGTGTCAGGCACCTGTAATCCCAGCTGCTCGGGAGGCTGAGGCAGGAGAATCGCTTGAACCTAGGAAGCGGAGGTGGTAGTGAGCCAAGATTGTGCCATTGCACTCCAGCCTGGGTGATAGAGTGAGACTCTGTCTCAAAAAAAAAAAAAAAAGAACTCCATTCCTTTTTATGACTGAATAATATTCCGTTGCACAAATAGACCACGTTTTAGTTCGCCATTCATCAGCTGATGGACATGTGGGTTGTTTCTACCTGTTGGCTGTTGTGAATAGTGCTGCTGTGAATACTCGCGTCCATGTTTTGTGTGGACCTCCAGAGGGGCTCCTGAATTGTCCCAGGTGGTGTTTACTCACCTCCCTCCCCCATGTGAGAAGGCGTGGTAGCTGGCTTCTCTCTTTGGAGAACTGTCAACATGGGAGGCCTCAGTATATTCTTGTTGAATGAGCGCAACACTTTAGAGTATCACTTATGCAAACCACAGACATTAAGTCCCGAGGTGAACAAGAGAGACACAGGCTGTGCCCTTCATGGGACTCATGTCCACTGGAGCTGAGAATGTTGATCCATCCATCTCCCTTAGGAATGTGAGATCACACCGGGAGATTAGGCTCCGGGGCAGGACTTTGAACTGTCTGAATGTCTAGAGGTCCTAGAACTAGCGTGGCAGGGGTGGTGGTCAGAAAGGGCCTCCCCTAGGGGGCAGCACTTGATCTAATTCAGTGAGAAAGCAGGGAGAGCAGTCTGGACTCGGGCCAGCATGTGCGAGGCCTGGTGGTTGAGAACTGGGGCCGCCTGGTACAAGGGATGCTGGGAAATTAGCAGGGCCAGACCATGTCCAGCTTCATGCCTGCTCCTCATTGGTGTCTGTCCTTATGGAGCTCACAGTTATTAGAAATGGGGAGGACTTGTCAGGGCACGGTGGTTCACACCTGTAATCCCAGCACTTTGGGAGGACGTGGCGGGCAGATCACTTGAGGTCAGGAGTTCGAGACCAGCCTGGCCAACATGGCGAAACCCCATCTCTATTAAAAATACAAGAAAAATTAGCCAGGTGTGGTGGTGTGCACTGGTAGTCCCAGCTACTCAGGAGGCTGAGGCAGGAGAATCGCTTAAACCCAGGAGGCAGAGGTTGCAGTGAGCTGAGATCGGGCCACTGCACTCCAACCTGGGTAACAGAGCAGACTCCATCTCAAAAAATAAAATAAAATAAAGAAACAGGGAGGACTTGGACAGGCATAGTGGCTCATGCCCGTAATCCCAGCCCTCTGGGAAGCCAAGGCTGGCATATCACTTTAGGCCAGGAGTTTGAGACCAGCCTGGCCAACATGGCAAAAACCCATCTCTACTAAAAATACAAAAATTAGCCAGGTGTGTTGACACGCACCTGTAATCCCAGCTACTCAGGAGGCTGAGGCAGAGAACTGCTTGAACCCAGGAGGCGGAGGTTGCAGTGAGCCGAGGTTGGGCCATTGCACTCCAGCCTGGTTACAGAGTGAGACTTTGTCTCAAAAAAAGAAAGAAAGAAAGAAAGAAAGAAACAGGGAGGACTTAATTCTTTCACCAAATAACCAAATATGTGCTGGACCCTGAGGACCGAGCTGTGGATGAGACAGACAGTCCTTGTCTTCCTGGGGCTCCACCAAGCAGCCATTAGGCTGCAACAGGCAAGAGGGGTGGGGGTGACTGGCACGTGACCCATCGCCTACCTGTGAGGGGAAGGAGTGGAAAGGACCATCTCATGAGAGGGACAGAGGAGCGGTTGGTGAAAGCTGGGACCACACTTGTCCTCTGACATATCTTCTTGCACCCCCAGACAGCCACAACCAAAGTCCCGGAGATCCGTGATGTGACAAGGATTGAGCGAATCGGTGAGTGAGTTGGGTCAGGAATAGGAGCTAAGCCCTGCCTGCCATATGCCCTGATTGAGCAAACCTATTGAGGACCCCTAAGATGGAGAGGGAGGTGGCCTGCACACCAACTGCCCCCGACTACTGTTCCCCCACTCCCTCTGTCTACTGGGGGAGGAAGAGCCTCAGTTCCAGAGGTGGGTCAGATGATGCAGTGGGGACCAGGCTGCTAGCTTGGCTATCCTGGTGGGGTTCCCGGGTGTATTTGCCTGGGGGTCATAGATATTTACTGGGTGCTTTACTGGGTTTGGCCTCGTATACCCAGTACACACTGTGGGGTGAGTTCCCTGAGGGCAGGGACCGGGTCTGTCTCGTTCCTAGCTGTGTCCCTAGCACAGGACCTGACAGAGCAGATGATCAAGAGATAACCATTGAATGCACGAGTTTGCGTCCTGTGGAACCTTTGCAGTAACCCCATGAGGTGCATATTACAACTGTTAGCTGAATTTTCAGAACTGCGGAATCACTGGCCCCGGCTCACAGAGCAGGAAGTTGAGGCGCAGTGAGGCCAGCAGGGTGCGCTCTCACAAAGAGCTTTACCGGCAGGGGAGAAACCGCATTCATTCATGCAGCACACTCACTCATCCAGGGCCTCCGAGAAAGGCAGTAAGGGCTCCTGGCTGTGAACATGGGTTTTAGAAGCCCAGTGCTGGATTCCTGAAGCTTAGCTCTGCCACTTTTCCACCATGTGGCCAGGGACTAGTTCCTCTCTGTGCCTCAGTTTCCTAATCTGCAAGATAGTTCACCTCATCAGTTAATGTAAGATTCAATAAAGTAGTTGATAGAAAACACTTCGGGGCTGTGTGCCAACACTGTTTCATCTATTAAAAGTACCAGGGTGCTAAGCACAGCGACTCACGCCTGTAATTCCAGCACTTTGGGAGGCCGAGACCAGTGGATCACCTGAGGTCAGGAGTTTGAGACCAGCCTAGCCAACATGGTGAAACCTCATGTCTATTAAAAATATGAACATTTGCTGGGCGTGGTGGCGTGCACCTGTAATCCCAGCTGCTCAGAGGCTGAGGCAGGAGAATCCCTTGAACTGGGAGGCGGAGGTTGCAGTGAGCCAAGATCATGCCATTGCATTCCAGCCTGGGTGACAAGAGTGAAACTCTGTCTCTAAATAAATAAATAAATAAATAAATAAAAGTGCTGAGGCTGGGTGCGGTGTCTCATACCTGTAATCCCAGCACTTTGGGAGGCCAAGGCAGGTGAATCACCTGAAGTCAGGAGTTTGAGACCAGCCTGGCCAACATGGTGAAACCCTGTCTCTACTAAAAATACAAAACTTAGCCAGGCATGGTAGTGCATGCCTGTAATCCCAGCTACTAGGGAGGATGGCTTGAACCTGGGAGGCAGAGGTTGCAGTGAGCCAATACCGTGCCACTGCACTCCAGCTTAGGTGACAAAGTGAGACTCCATCTCAAAAACAAACAAAAAGTGCCAAGTATGGCCGGGCACGATGGGTCATGCCTGTAATCCCAATACTTTGAGAGGCAGAGGCAGGAGGACTGCTTGAATCAGGAGTTTAAGACCAGCCTGAGTCACATAGTCACATGACCCTGTCTCTAAAAATAAAAATAAAATAAAAAAATTAGCTGACGGTGGTGGTACATGCCTGAGTCCCAGCTACTTGTGAGAACTGCTTGAACCAAGGAGGTTCAGGCTGTGGTGAGATGTGACTGCACCACCGCACTGCAGCCTGGGTGACAAAGTGAGACCCTCTCTCAGAAAAAAACAATAAAAAATTTTAAAAATTAAAAAAAAAGAAAAGAACAGCCAAGCACTGCCTGGGAGCTGAGGACCCAGTAGAGACTAGCTGCACCCAGGAGCCACCCTTGGGGTGCTCATAGTCAAGCACTGGTGTCAGCAAATCTTTCTTAAAGTGTCAGATGGTAAATCTTTCCTCGTTGAAACTACTCAACTCTCCTCTTGCAGTGCGAAGGCAGCCCCAGACAGTATATAAATGAAATGGCATGGCAGTGTTCCAATACAAAGATTTTTTGGTTGGATTTTTTTTGTTTTGTTTTGTTTTGTTTTGTTTTTGAGATGGAGTCTCACTGTGTTGCCCGGGCTGGAGTGCAGTGGGGCGATCTCAGCTCACTACAACCTCCACCTCCCAGGTTTAAGCGACTCTAGTGCCTCAGCCTCCCAAGTACCTGAGACTACAGGTGCATGCCACCATGCCAGGCTAATTTTTGCATTTTTTAGTAGAGATGGAGTTTCACCATGTTGACCAGGCTAGTCTCAAACTCCTGACCTCAGGTGATCTGCTTGCCTCTGCCTCCCAAAGTGCTGGAATGATAGGCATGAGCCACCACGCCCAGCTCCAGTAAAATTTTATTTGCAAAAACAGGTGGCTGACCTGCAGGCTGAGGTTTGCTTAACCCTCATCTAATGTAAAGCATTGGAATCCCATCTTCCCCTCTCGCTGGCTGTGTGGCTGGGGCTTGGGACCTAACCTCTCTGAGCTCCCTCCCCATTCATATCAGTAGGTCCTGGGACTTTTGCCATTTTGATACCCAGAAGTGCTTTCAGGGTGATAGCAGCCAGGACTCTTGTTTCATTTTATTTTGTTTTATTGAGACAGGTCTTGCTCTGTCGCCCAGGCTGGAGTGCAGTGCCACAATCTTGGCTCACTGCAACCTCCGCCTCCCAGGTTCAAGCAATTCCCCTGCCTCACCCTTCTGAGAAGCTGGGATTATAGTCATCTGCCACCACGCCTGGCTAATTTTTGTATTTTTAAGAGAGACGGAGTTTCACCATGTTGGCCAGGCTGGTCTTGAACTCCTGACCTCCAGTGATCTGCCTGCCTTGGCCTCCCAAAGTGCTGGGATTACAGGCGTGAGCCACCGCCCCAAGCCCCGGCCAGGGCTCTTTTTTTGCAGGGTTATATGGAATAAACTGAGAACATGTGGGTGCTGTGTAAGCCATAAACACGAACTAATTGTGATCATTAGCCCTTATGGTTAGTTCTTGGTATGATTATGTGCTTAATCAGGTCTCAGTGACTTTCGTTTAACTAGGATGCATCCTCAGAGCAGCTCCAGTTCATTGAGCATTTACCACCTTCAGCCATCTTGCTAGGGAGGTGTCAATTTGGGATATCCTTCCCCCGTGCCCCTTCATTCCCCCAACCCCTTACTCCCTACTCCCACCCACCCCTTTGACAAAGAAGGAAACCAGGGCTCAGAGGGGTCAGGCCACACGTGCAGCAAGCTGGCTAGTAACTGAGCCTCTGTTCTTTCCCTTCATATAGGTGCCCACTCCCACATCCGGGGACTGGGGCTGGACGATGCTTTGGAGCCTCGGCAGGTAGAACAGAGGAGGCTGGGAGGGCCTCTCCATGAAGGTCTTGGGTGGCGGGTACTTCCCGGGCCCTTGGTGGGGGGATATGTGTTGAACTACGTTTATCGTTTTCTGACCCTTTTGGCTAACATTATCCCACATAAATCACTTCAGCCACACGTGGTTTTCTTGGTACTAAATAGATATTTGTTATTTGCCTCGGGGTGTGTGCTCGTGGCTGTACTATCCGGCAGCACTTGGGGAGGTCCAGGTGGGTGGATCACCTGAAGGTCAGAGTTCAAGACCAGCCTGGCCCACATGGTGAAACCCTCTCTATGCAAAAAATACAAAATTAATGGCGGGCGGGTGGCTCAAAGCCTGTTAATCCCAGCACTCTTTGGGAGGTATCTCGAGACGGGCAGGTCACGAGGTCAGGCAGATCGAGACCATCCCAACAATGGGCCTACATGGTGAAACACCCGTCCTCCACTAAAAATAGCAAAAAACTACGGCGACGTGGGCGGTCGCCTGTTAGTCCCAGCTACTCGGGAGGCCTGAGGCAGGAGAAGGGCCGGAGCCCGGGAGGGCGAGTTGCAAGTGAGCTGAGATCCGGCCCCACTGCACTCCACGCCTGGGCGACGAGGTGAGAAACTTCGTCCTCAAAAAAAAAAAAAACAAAAAAAAAAAAGATTAACCGGACATCGGTGGTTGCAACTGCCTGTAATCCCGCAGGCTACTCAAGAAGGCTGAGGCAGGAGAATCGCTGAACCTGGGAGGTGACGGTTGCAGTGAGCCTGAGATTGTGCACTGCACTCAGGCTGGGTGACATCTCAAAAAAAAAAAAAAAAGAATTGGAATTGGGTAGCAAGTGCTTTGCCACCTTAAAAAAAAAATTAGCTGGGTGCGAATGGCTCATGCTTTGTAAACCCCAATGCTTTGGGAGGCTGAGGTGGGAGATTCGCTTGAACCTAAGAGCTTGAGGCCAGCCTGGGTAACATAGTGAGAGCCCGTCTCTACAAAAAATTTTAAAACTTAGCTGGACATGGTGGCGCACATTTGTGGTCCCAGCTACTCAAGAGGCTGAGGTGGAAGGATCTCTTGATCCCTAGAAGTCAAGGCTACAGTGAGCCATGATCGTACCACTGTACTTCAGCCTGGGTGACAGAGTGAGATCTTGTCTCAAAAAAAAAATGCGGAGAAAGCTTTTTTGGCTTTTCCCAGAAGTCCCGCTAGTAATGTCTGCTTCCATCTCACTAGCCAGGATGTGGTAGAAATGCAGTGGTAGCCCCGTAGGAAATCACCTCATGTGCTGCCTCCCACCCACAGGCTTCACAGGGCATGGTGGGTCAGCTGGCGGCACGGCGGGCAGCTGGAGTGGTGCTGGAGATGATCCGGGAAGGGAAAATTGCCGGGCGGGCAGTCCTTATTGCTGGCCAGCCAGGCACGGGGAAGACGGCCATCGCCATGGGTAAGAAACCTCCCAGGGCAGGAACTCTCCTGGTCCCTGGTAAATAACTCCTCCTGTGTGAGTCGGGGTCAGGATCAGCTGCATTTAACAGGTGACCCAAAGTCGCGGTGGCTTAAACACTCAGAATTCGTTCTCGGCCGTGGAAGAATCTAGAGGTAGGCCATTTGGGGCTTATTAAGTAGTTCCAGGAAGTCTTCCGTCTTCCTGCCTCATCATCCTCTGCACTTGGTTCCAGTGTCAAGAGGACGTCGTGTTCCAAGAGGGCTGCCGGAGCTCCAGCCTTCGCATTCATAATCCAGGCAGCAGGAATAAAAGAGTTAGCATGAGGGTGAACCCCCTCGAGTTGGCTTCCTTTAAGCAGTCATCTTGGAAATCCTTCATGCTTCTGCTTATATCTCATTGACTAGAATTTAATCATATGATCACACTCTGCTTCTGGGGAGGCTGGGACATTAGATGTTTGTTTAAATTTCATAATTTGGACCATTTTTGCCTTAAGAAAATGAGGATTCTTCTGTTGGACAACAGGTTGTAAAAATAAGAAATTTTAAAAAAGAAAATAGGAAAGAAAATGAGGGTTCTGGAACTAAGGAAGAAGGGGAAGGTGGGTATTGAGGAGTCACTCAGCATCTCTGTTGCAGTCCACTAGTGATTTATGATTTTTTCACTCCCAGCTGTTCTTCTTCCTTGTTGAACTCCTATTTATCCTTCAAAACCCTACTTCAGCATCTCTGCCCCACTGAAGCTTTTTCTAACCCACTGCTCTTCCCACTCACTCCCACCTCTGTGCTGAGGATGGGGCCAGGCAGGGAGCATCAGAGTAACAGCCAGGTCTTCAGTGAAGATAAAGCAGTGCCTGTTGGGGTGCCAGGCCTTGCACTGGACACTGGGGACCCATAGATGAATTAGACCAAGGCCTGACTTCAAAGAGCTCCTGGTCTGGAGGAGGTGGTCATGGACACGATCCCTTCCAAGGTGACATGTGTTACAATGGAGGTAGCATGTGACAGAGGAGGCGCCTGACCTTGGTAGGAAAATGGGGCATGTGGTGGCATTTGTCAGTAGAGGCTTCCAGAGAAGTGGATACCTGAGCTAAGCCTAGTAGGATGGCCAGGAGGCTCCTGGGCGGACACTGGGGACAGCATGTCCAGGCCCAGAATGTGGCACACACAGTGCCTGCCTTCCCTCCATCCTTTCTCCTTTCCTCTTCCTTTTTTTTTTCTTTTTGAGATGGAGTCTCACTCTATGGCCCAGGCTGGAGTTCAGTGGCCGGATCTCGGCTCACTGCAAGCTCCACCTCCCGGATTCACGCCATTCTCCTGCCTCAGCCTCCCGAGTAGCTGGGACTACAGGCGCCCGCCACCTCGCCCGGCTAGTTTTTTGTATTTTTTAGTAGAGACGGGGTTTCACCATGTTAGCCAGGATGGTTTCGTTGTGATCCGCCCATCTCGGCCTCCCAAAGTGCTGGGATTACAGGCTTGAGCCACCGCGCCCGGCCTTTTTTTTTTTTTGAGACAAGAGTTTCACTCTGTTGCTCAGGCTAGAGTGCAGTGGTGTGATCTTCGCTCACTGCAACCTCTGCCTCCCGGGTTCAAGTGATCCTCCTGCCTCAGCCTTCCAAGCAGCTGGGATTACAGATGTGTGCCACCACGCCCAACTAATTTTTGTATTTTTAGTAGAAATGGGATTTCACCCTGTTGGCCAGGCTGGTCCCAAACTCCTGACCTCAGGTGTTCCCCCTGCCTGCCTCGGCCTCCCAAAGTGTTGGAATTACAGGCATGAGCCTGTAGACTTTATTTTTTAGGCATGTTGTGACCATGCCTGGCCTTGCCTTTCCTCTTCTTGTGTCTCCCAGGCAAAGCCTCCTGCAGGCCAAACCCTGTGCTGGGCAGCACTGGGGTGAGGCTGGCCTCGCCCTGAGGGGGACGCTCCTTAGTCTAGTGAAGGAGGCAGAGAGGACCCCTGGTGTCCCCAGGTGGCATGGGTCATGTTCGTCCACTCAGTCCTCAGCAGATACTTGCCGAGTTCTGTGCTGAGGGCCATTGTGCATCCGCAAAGGAGACCAAGAAGAGGTGCCACTTGACACTGGGCAGGAGGGTGTGGCAACAGCCTGTCTGTAAGGGCATGCCCCACATTGGGCCAAACCTTGTGGCCAGGAAGCTGGAGGGAAAGGTCTGGCGCTCAGAGCCATTGCTGGAGACAGCCTTGCTTCCTGCCAGCCACCCCAGGCTACAGGCGGTCGAGCACCCTGCCCTGTGCCGGTTTCAGGCTGTGCAACCATGTTACCGCTGAGCACCAGTGCCTGCCTGCCTGCCTGCCTGCCTGCCTGCCTGCCTGCCTGCCCATAGTTGCTCCTAAGCAGGGTGTCATGCCATGCCGGCACCTGTTCTGTTATCATCCCCATCAGAAAAGGGGGAAACAGACTCGGGGAGCCGTCCAGATCACACGGTGCCGACTGCACTAAGTGGTGGATCTGGGATCAGAGCTCAGGCAATCTGCCTTCATCACTTGTAACTATTGTGGCAGCCCCTTGGCCTTCGTCCCTGCTCCCCATCGCCCAGCTCTGAGGCTAAACAGCTCATAGAGGCTGGGAGACTGAGGTGTGGCGAGGTTCTAGGGTATACACTCTGGGCAATGTGGGATTCTAAGCCAGGCCTGCCAGAGCAACCTGCCCTCCCTGGCTTCTCATTCACTGTCTGCCTCGTGGCTAAACCCCTCTCTCCAGTTCCCCCTCCCCAGGGCTCTGCTCAGCTCAGAGCCAAGTCCTTACATGTAGGATGGCACTGAACCCTCTTTCCTGGGGTGGGAGAAGAGCTAGTTTGCCACAGAGCAGGTGTCGGGGACCTAGGGCCAGAGTGGCTTCACCTACCCGGACTGCCTCCTCCCCAGGCATGGCGCAGGCCCTGGGTCCTGACACACCATTCACAGCCATCGCCGGTAGTGAAATCTTCTCCCTGGAGATGAGCAAGACTGAGGCGCTAACGCAGGCCTTCCGGCGGTCCATCGGCGTTCGCATCAAGTAAGCAGACAACTCGAGGCGGGTGCCAGTCCCCAGAGCCTGGGAGCAACTCCACGCCCCGGGCGGCTTGTCCTTTGTCCCGGAGCTCGGGGAAGGTTGTGATTCCCGAGGGCACAGGTGTCAGGCTGTCTCCTCAGATCTGCTCTCTGGCTAGGGAGGAGACGGAGATCATCGAAGGGGAGGTGGTGGAGATCCAGATTGATCGACCGGCAACAGGAACGGTGAGTCTGTGTGAGTCTGTACCCTGCTGAGGCCACCTCCAGCGCCAGGGTTGGAGATAGTAGGTGTCAGGTGTGCACTGAGGTCAGAATCCCATGGAATGTTCTAGCTGCAGACTAGAGCCCAAAGTGCTGGGATTACAGGCGTGAACCACTGTACCTGGCCTTTTTCTTTTTTTTTTTCAATTTCTGTTTTCTCCTTTTTGCATAGCTGTGTTTTCTGATTTTGCGATCAACAAAAACAGCTTTTATTTGGGTATAAATAAATTGACCTACAGTAGGAGGTCAGTTAACTTGACAGTGACTTATGCCCTCATGAGGGACATTATGAGCAATAGAAACTGAAGTAGTGAAATAGAGATCTGTTAGTGAATTCTCAGCAGACTTCAAAACCCATTCTGTGGCCGAAAGGCATGTCCTGTCCAGCTTACATGATACAAGTGATTTGCTCTCGTTTTTTTTTTTTTTTTTCCCGAGACAAGAGTCTCTCTGTGTCCCCCAGGCTGGAGTGCAGTGGTGCAATCTCAGCTCACTGCATCCTCTGCCTCCCGGGTTCAAGTGATTCTCCTGCCTCAGCCTCCCGAGTAGCTGGGATTACAGGTACGCACCTCCAGGCCTAGCTAATTTTTGTATTTTTAGTAGAGATGGGTTTCACCATGTTGGCCAGGCTGGTCTTGAACTCCTGACCTCGTGATCTGCCCACCTCGGCTTCCCAAAGCGCTGGATTTCAGACCGTGAACCACCGTACCTGTGCTTCTTCTTATTTTTTTTTTTTTTTTTTTCAATTTCTGTTTTCTCCTTTTTTGCATAGCTGTGTTTTCTGATTTTGTGATCAACAAAACAGCTTTTACTTTGGGTATAAAATAGGAATGTCAAAGTGACCTTTGGCAATTTTGCAGGACTTTGGGCCATGTTGTTTATATTAGACTTTATTATTTATTTATTTTGAGACAGCATCTCATTGCCCAGGCTGGAGTGCAGTGGTGTGATCTCGCTCACTGCAAGCTCTGCCTCCTGGGTTCATGCCACTCTCCCGCCTCAGCCTCCCGAGTAGCTGGACGGACTACAGGTGGCCCGCCACCACGACCTGGCTAAATTTTTTGTTTTTTTTAGTAGAGGACGGGTTTCCATCGTGTTAGCCCCAGGATGGTCTCATCGTCTGACTTCGCGATCCACCGCCTCGGCCTTCCAAAGTGCTGGGATTACAGGTGTGAGCCACTGCACCCGGCCAATAGACTTTATTTTTTAGGCATGTTTTTTGTTTACTATTTTTATTAAGAGTTTTATTGAGTTTTGCCCGGGTGTCGTGGCTCACGCCTATAATCCCAGCACTTTGGGAGGCTGAGGTGGGCGGATCACTTGAGGTCAGGAGTTCAAAACCAGCCTGGCCAACATGGTGAAACCCCTTCTCTACTAAAAATACAAAATGGCCAGGCGCGGTGGCTCACGCCTGTAATCCTAGCACTTTGGAGGCTGAGGCAGGCGGATCACCTGAGGTCAGTAGTTCAAGACCAGCCTGACCAACATGGTGAAACCTTGTCTGTACTAAAAATACAAAAAATTAGCTGGGCATGGTGGTGGGCGCCTGTAATCCCAGCTACTCAGGAGGCTAAGGCAGGAGAGTTGCTTGAATCCAGGAGGCAGAGGTTGCAGTGAGCCGAGATCGCGCCATCACACTCCAGCCTGGGCAACAAGAGTGAAACTCCGTCTCAAAAAACATTAAAAATAATAAAAATACAAAACAATTAGCTGGGCATGGTGGCACACATCTGTAATCCCAGCTACTTGGGAGGCTGAGGCAGGAGAACTGCTTGAACCTGGGAGGTGGAGGTTGGAGTGAGCCGAGATTGCACCACTGCACCCCAGCCTGGGCGACAGCAAGACACCATCTCAAAAAAAAAAAAAAAAGCTTTATTGAGTTTTAATTGACATACAAAAAGCTGCACACATTCCAAGTGTCCAGTATGGTCGATTGAGACATACATGTTCACCCGCGGAGCCATCACCACGTCAGACTGGTGAGCACACCATATCTGTTCCCCGAAGAGCTTCCTTGTGTCGTGCCCATTTTGAAGCTGTGTAAGCAGAGGCCAGAGCACAACCAGAAGCTTATCAACACTGGGGGCACTGGGGCAACATCAGGGCCCTCTCTGATCCCCTTCCCTGGCTTGTCCCCACTCTCAGGGCTCCAAGGTGGGCAAACTGACCCTCAAGACCACAGAGATGGAGACCATCTACGACCTGGGCACCAAGATGATTGAGTCCCTGACCAAGGACAAGGTCCAGGCTGGGTGAGCAGTCAGGGGCCATGCCAGGCAGCCAGGGGAATGGGCGAGCTTGGGCCCATTCCTTTCCTTACCCCACCCCCCACCCCCTGTAGGGACGTGATCACCATCGACAAGGCGACGGGCAAGATCTCGAAGCTGGGCCGCTCCTTCACACGCGCCCGTGACTACGACGCTATGGGCTCCCAGGTGCGGCCGGGACTCCTGCGATCCCCTCGCCCCCAGCGCTGGGGTGTTGTCATCTCCTCCATCACCCCCATGACCCATGGGGTCTGGATCTTCCTGTCACCCTGACTTTTTGTCCTGGTACTCCTGGGTCTTCCCTGTAACCCTAGGACAGCTGGGTCCCTCAGCCTGGCACTGTAGCTTCACATCACCACATGTGGCCTGTGGCTTCTGAGGTCCTCCAGGAGCCCCCATGACCCTTAGCTCTCTGGAACACGCCTAGTCCTGACTACCTCCTGGCCCTGGGGTTTCCGGATGACCCCATTTAGCCTCCCAGCTCCGTTTCCTGGAGCTCCAATCTCCCCCAGACAGAGGCCTTTAGGGCCCCCCTTCATGGCCTTCCCTGCCCTGTCTCCTCCCTTCTTCTCCCACCCCCGCCCCATAGACCAAGTTTGTGCAGTGCCCGGATGGGGAGCTCCAGAAACGCAAGGAGGTGGTGCACACCGTGTCCCTGCACGAGATCGACGTCATCAACTCCCGCACCCAGGGCTTCCTGGCGCTCTTCTCAGGTGAGGCCCCTCCTGCCCTGCCCTGCCCCAGGCCTGGCAGCCTCCTTCGGGCTCCCTCTGTTCCTGAGCTCCGAGTGTGGCCCACTTGCTCCACACCCTTTCCTGTAACTCTGGCCCATGGCTGCCTCTGTTCTCCACCTGCAAGTCCGCTTCGTCCCCCCACCGCTGGTGCTGTGATGGGGGTGTCGCCCTGCCCTCTCCCCATCCTGTGTTCTCTGCCTCTGTTCATCCTCTCTGGGGATGTTTCAGTCTCCTCCTCCCTCCTGGCTTTGCTCCCCTTCCTCCACCCCTGCATCATCCTCCTCTGTCTTAGTCACACTCTGGCTCTGGAACCCACCTCCTCTCTGACTTCCCTGATGCAACCTGCGCCTCACATAGGTGACACAGGGGAGATCAAGTCAGAAGTCCGCGAGCAGATCAATGCCAAGGTGGCAGAGTGGCGCGAGGAGGGCAAGGCGGAGATCATCCCTGGAGTGAGGACCCGGGACATGGCCGGGGCAGGTGGCGGGGTGGGGGTGGGCTGGGGAAGCAGGGACGTGGGTGGCGACTCTCACACACACCCCAATCCCAGGTGCTGTTCATTGATGAGGTCCACATGCTGGACATCGAGAGCTTTTCCTTCCTCAACCGGGCCCTGGAGAGTGACATGGCGCCCGTCCTGATCATGGCCACCAACCGTGGCATCACGCGGTGAGCCAGCTGCAGGGGCCTCTGGGGAAAACGGGATGCTCCGGGCAGTGGATGTGGTCAGAGGGTCCACAGGGAGCCTGTGTTGACACCTGATCAGGGAGGGACCCGTGACTGCGGTGTGCGCTCTTCCCTTACAAAAGGCAGGTGGGAGGCAGCTCTGCTCCCCGAGGAAGCCCAGAGACGGTTCTTGCTGCCTTTCTGTCTTGCTACTCCTTTGGCCCCCAAGGCTGCAGTGTTCAAACTGCGTGCGAAGCGCCCCAGGGCGCTGCAGGAAACTCACAGGAGTGCTGTGGGATGTTTTCTAATCTTGAGGGAAGCACAGTGACATCTGTTAGACACGACATAAACTACGACTGTTCAGTCACTTCGACCCAACAACTTCATTCACAGAACTCTTACTGTTGTGTTTGGCCTGAGGATGCCAGGGACAGATTCCCATGACACGGAGGGTACCATGCTCTGCTGAAGCCTGGGGACCTCGTCTCCCAGGTGTTGCCAGCACCGTGTGCGTGGGGAACTCTTAGTGTTGTGTTTGGTCTGAGGATGCCGGGGACAGATTCCTGTGACACAGAGGGTACTGTGCTGTGCTGAAGCCTGGGAACCTCGTCTCCCAGGTGTTGCCAGCACCCTATGTAGCTGGGATTATGGGCACCCGCCACCATGCCTGCTGGCTGTCTTCTCCACCTCGCCACATTTTGGCCCGCAGGAAGCAGGGGATGTGGAGGGCAGGCAGCCCCCATAGGCTGTGATCTACAGGCTGCACCCCACCCTTGTACCCACATCCCATTGCCCGGTGCTGCTCAGGCTCAGGGCCGTACCTGGTGGCAAAGAAGGCTGGGGACTGCAGCTGTGGGCCCAGCTGAAACTGGGCGGTTGGGGTGGGCACCACAAAAGGGATGAAGCAGGCATCCTACAGAGGATGGTGGGCCGCTGTGCCTGGCTCTGTTGGCTCTTTTAACTCCTTGGATCTGCAGAAGAAGCTCAGAAGGTAGATATCACCTCAGTGCCATTTTACAGGGCAGGACAGTGAGGCCCAGTGACTTGCCCAGGTCACAAGTCTAGAAAGTGGCAGAGCCCGAATTTGGTCTCTCGGTGGCTGGACACTGGAAGAGACCCCCAGGGCTGATGGTGTTTTCTCAGAAACCGCAGGTCAGGGCCTGGGGACTGCCCAGGGGCACCTCCTGTGGGAGGCAGCAGCTACCAGCAGCCCTGGTTGTTCGTAGACTCTGTATCTGAGAATCTCCTCGCTTGCTAAGATTTAGTTGTAATCCGCAAGTAAATATCTGCCCTGCTTTTGACCACAAATTCGAGTCACCTGACACCCACTTTCCTAGCTGAGTGTGAATGAGGCAACACTGGCTGCTTCCTTTAGCTCATGCTATAAATAAGTGTCCTTGTTGTATTCTATTTAGTGCTACGTTTTCACTTTCGTTTTTTGAGACAGGGTCTTGCTCTGTTGCCCAGGCTGGAGTACAGAGGCATGATCATGGCTCACTGCAGCCTCAGTGCCTGCCACACACACATACACACACACACACACACCACCCCTGGGGCTCAATCAATCCTCTGGCCTCAGCCTCCTCATCAGCTGGGACCATGGGCGTGCACCACTATGCCTAGCTAATTTTTGTTTTTGTTTTGAGGCGGAGTCTAGCTCTCTTGCCAGGCTGGAGTGCAGTGGCACGATCTTGGCTCACGGCAAGCTCTGCCTCCCAGGTTCAAGCAGTTCTCCTGCCTCAGTCTCCCGAGTAGCTGGGATTGCAGACACCCCCCACCATGCCTGGCTAATTTTGGTATTTTTAGTAGAGACGGGGTTTCACCATATTGGCCAGGCTGGTCTTGAACTCCTGACCTCGTGATCTGCCCACCTTGGCCTCCCAAAGTGTTGGAATTACAGGGGTGAGCCACCGCGTCCGGCCTAATTTTATTTTTTTTATTTCTTATTTTTTATTTTTTACTTTTGTATTTTTTTGTAGAGATGGGGTTTTGCCATGTTGCCCAGGTTGGCCTACAACTCCTGGGCTCAAGCAATCCGCCTGCCTCAGCCTCCCAAAGTATTGTCACATTTTTGTGCCTTTTTAAAAAAAAAAAACTTTTGGGGGCCATTTGTTGGTGATATTGCCATTTGAAATGTCCCCTGTGTACAGTGCTGAAGTGCTGTCTGGTATTCTAAGTGCAAGGAGGCTGTGATGCCGGACAGAGGAAATACCGTGTTACAGGCGCTTCGCTGAGCCCAAGTTAGAATGCTGTTGACATGAGCTCCATGTTAGAGAATAAACAGTGATGTTACATAAACACATGAAAATAGAAACACACATAAATGAGGCCAGGCGCAGTAGCTCACTCCTGTAATCCCAGCACTTTGGGAGGCTGAGGTGGGCAGATCACGAGGTCAAGAGAACGACGAGACCATCCCAGCCAACATGATGAAACCCCGTGTCTATTAAAAATAGAAAAAATTAGCTGGGCATAGTCACGTGCGCCTGTAGACCCAGCTACTTGGGAGGCTGAGGCAGGAGGATCGGTTGAACTCGGGAGGCGGAGGTTGCAGTGAGCCGAGGTCATGCCACTGCACTCCAGCCTCGCAACAGAGCGAGACTCCGTCTTAAAAAACATAACAGAAACACACAAATGAAAACACACATAGACCCAGATTATATATATATGGATTGACGAAAATACTGTGAGTAAAGGCTCAAGAGAGCCTAACCCTGTATTCCACTAGGAGCAGTGGCTCAGGATTGGCTAATTGGAGTGTTCATGGTGACTTTCTAGAACCTCACTGAGGTGAATAAGGGGAACTGACTGTATACCCTGGCACCAGCCCTGGGCTGGCCCCGCTGCAACAGGGAACAAGACAGGTTCTGTCCCCTCCTTTGTGAAGCTTCATGTCGAGCACGGGAGTGGGACCTTGATCCAGTAATCCTGGAGGCAGAGAGCTGGCTTAAAGCAGCCCAGCTCTGCGGAAAGGTGTCCTTGGGGGACTGACACAGTTGTGGCAGGCTGCGTCATCAGGGGGTGATGTCATCATGTGACAGGAGACACGAGCTAAAGGTTAAGTGGTGTTGGGCCCACTGAGTGGGTGGTGATGGGAGGTGGGAGTGTTCCCAGCAAAGGGAATGAAAAGGGAACATCCCCCTGACAGCCCCCTCTTTCTGCCTCTTCCTCAGAATCCGGGGCACCAGCTACCAGAGCCCCCACGGCATCCCCATAGACCTGCTGGACCGGCTGCTTATCGTCTCCACCACCCCCTACAGCGAGAAAGACACGAAGCAGATCCTCCGCATCCGGTGCGGGCAGGACCAGACCGTGCGCCTGGGAGGCGGGGCTGGGGTCTACCCTGTTTGACAAATGCCGACACTGAGGTCTGGCGGACTGGCATGGTGGCTGGGCCTGCAAGAGAGAGGGCTGATCTGGCACCCAGACAGTGGCCGCTGATCCGGGAGCAGGAGCCATGGTGGGAAAGGGAGGCGAGGTACCCGTGACTGGTGTGGGGGCCAGCGCCCTGGGCGTGGTCAGGAGGCCTAGGTTTTAGGTCCAGCCCAGCCCCTGTCTCCGTGGCTCTTCTAGCCTCAGCATTCTATGGTTCTAAGATGCAGGCGCCACATATTCCCAGTGGGGAAGGACCAGAGGGTTGCTGTGGCCACTTCTGCTGCAGTCAGAGGCTGGGCCCTGGCTGAGCCACCTCCGTCCCCCACTGCTTGCAGGTGCGAGGAGGAAGATGTGGAGATGAGTGAGGACGCCTACACGGTGCTGACCCGCATCGGGCTGGAGACGTCACTGCGCTACGCCATCCAGCTCATCACGGCTGCAAGCCTGGTGTGCCGGAAACGCAAGGTCAGCCGGCCGAATTAGCCAGCAGGGCCAGATGGTGGCAGTGAGTGACGCACTACTTCAGGGGCTGCCAGGGTTCCAATTTCAACCTAGGATGTACATTTTCAGAGGCAGGGAATTTTCATCCCTCAAGTTGTCTTCTGTATCTCCCCGCCTGGCCTACAGTAGGTGCTCAGTAAATCTCTGTTGACTGTAAGTAGATGCTGTTAGGTCCACCTTACAGATAAAGAAACTGAGGAATGAAGAGGCTGGGCCCACAACCAGGAGATGGCCAGGCAGGTTTTGAACCCAGGCAATCTGGCCCAGAATGCCCTCCCCTCACATGCCACCCTCTGCTGCCTAGAGCATGGAGGTGGCATATGCTGGGGTCTGTGCCGGTGAGCCTCACAGAGAGGGGCCCAACTCAGGACCCGCCCTCCCCCTCCAGGGTACAGAAGTGCAGGTGGATGACATCAAGCGGGTCTACTCACTCTTCCTGGACGAGTCCCGCTCCACGCAGTACATGAAGGAGTACCAGGACGCCTTCCTCTTCAATGAACTCAGTAAGAATCCCTACCCTGCACCTGCACTGCCAGAGCCAACCTCGGGGAGGAAGAGGGAGCTCGGCCTAGAAGGCTCAGGCCCTGCCCCCTGGGCCACACTGACCATGTGGCCTTCCTTCTCCCCACAGAAGGCGAGACCATGGACACCTCCTGAGCTGGATGTCATCCCCTGTCCCCACCCTGTTTTCTACCAGAGTTCTGACACTGTGACTTTGTATAAAATGGTTTGAAGCTGCACCCACTCTGTGTGTGGTTGCCCTGAGCCCACAGAAAGACACCTCCAGAATGCGCACTTAGAAGCCTTTATTGCGGGAGGAACGGGGTGTCTGCTGGCTCCAGGAGTCAGGATGGACTTGGAGGGCTGGGGGGAGGGTCTTTAGAGGAAGAGGAGGCCTGGGAGTTGGGGGTGGTCACAAGTCAAAGGGTGGTCCTTGGGACCCCCACAGTCAGAGGTGCTGCGGTGGCAGGGTCCACAGCGACAGCTGAGAGCCACAGGGAAGGAGACCATGGGGTCCACGCCAGGCAGGCAGCCAGGGAGCTGGATGGAGTCGAAGCGCACCTCGCGGTAGGTGCACACCACCTGGGGCAGGGGCGGCAGGGCCGCCTGCAGCACCCGCATCTGGAGGATGTGTGGATAGGGGAGTGAGCATGTGCCTGGGGCCAGCGCCTCCGCTGACCTCCCAAGCTGCCTCCAAAGGTCCCAGACTCAGGAGTCCAGGAAGCCCTCTGTTCCCGCCTCCCACACCCCATTCCCCAGCCCCTGACCAGACAGGCAGACCGCCCTTCCTCCCCCGCTGCCTCTGTGATCCGGCCCTGAGGTGGCAGCACCTGCCTCTGGCCCGGGGCAGCTCACCATGGTGGGGCAGTAGCCGGCACAGATGGTGGTGTTGACGGTGATGCACACGGGACAGGCCTCCTTCTCGGCAGCCAAAGTGGCATTGATGGGGCGGCACAGTGGCCGCAGCGGCTCCCTGGATGCCCGTGCCCCGCCCATGCTCAGCAGCAGCCCCAGCAGCAGCCCCTGGGACAAGGACACTGCTTCAGCCCAGTCTGAGACCGCAGCCCCGTGCCCTGGCCCTCCCATTCCCCGGGGTACACCACGTGCAATGACCCAGAGGCCCTTCCCGGCATCTCCTAGTCAGGACCCACCGCCCAGACACCTGCCTTTCAGCGCCCACCCCACAGCCCAGAGGACCTGAGATACCGCAACATTTCAGAAACCCACCCTCAGGGATTGCCCCACCTGAAGCTTACTGGGGGTCACGTCCCTCCGGAAAGAGGCCTCCTTCCACAGCTCACACGCGTCTGCCCCTTCTCATGCCAGTGATGGCCTGGAAGGAGGTGGAAGGTGCCCAGGGGCCCTGCAGTCTTACCTGGAGCATCTCCATCCTTGGTGCGTCCCCTGCCTCGTGTACCTGGCTTTATACTTCGGGGTTGTGGGGGCGGCAAGGCCACCAGGAGGTGGTAGGATGCTGGGGTAACCTGGACACTAATCCCCCCGGGGGCGAGAGGTGCACAAGGCCAGGGAGGCGCAGGAGTGGCTCAGCAGAGCACCCCAGCCCTCTCCCCTCAGTGGTCCAGTGCCAGGGATGAGGCAGAGACCACGGTGAGGTGACCTCAGAGACTCATCCATGGAGTGCTAGGGTCTAGTCGGTGTTGGAGGCACAGGAGTAGGGGGTAGAAAGGCCTGCCTCTGCCTATGGAGTTGTCTTGGGAGCCAGGAGGAGGCCGTGACCCGAGAAAGATGCTGGACTGAAGCCTCAACCCTCCTCCACTTGATGCATTCCTGTGCCACAGTCCTCACCGTGATCGTGCTGCCAGGGAAGCCACTTGACCCAGATGCCCCCCAACCAGGGATTCAGCCAGAGCCCCACCTCAGCCTTAGGGACCTCTGCCCACCACACCCTCAAGCCAGGATGCCCGGAGGGGTCCCCGGAAATGGGTGTGGTTCAAGTGATTTAACTCATTTAATACGCCCTCAGGGTGCGTGTCCTGCCCGCAGGGCCACAGCCTCCAAGGACATCTGGACTTAGTCCCCTCTCCGCGATGCCGCAGCCGAGTGGGCGTGTCTGGGCTAGTCCCGCCCCCACATTGCCGATAGAGGTAATGAGTGCGACTCAGGCCTGGTCCGGATCCCTCTTAGTGAGCGGAGATCCGGAGCTCGGCTCCGCCCCGCGGCCCAGGGGGCGTGTCCGGGGTGGGGCTGGCCCGGCCCGCTCACACCAGCGTCAGCTTCAAGCTGCCATAGCTGGAGTTCTCTGTACTGTAGGCTTTCGGCACGCTGTGGATGCCCGGCAGGGGCTTCCAGTGGGGGCCGCCCCAGGGCGCCTCCAGCGGGCAGAAGCGGTCGAGCCCCCGGAGCGGGTGCAACGGGGGGCTGTAGGACTCCTGAGCCAGAGACAGGGCTCCGCGGTGCGGCACGGCCGAGGTCACCGGCCTGGCGCGTGGCACGCGGACCCGCGGTGGTCGGGGCGGCCGGGAGGAGCGCGGACAGGGCGGCCGCTGCGGGCCGTGGCCCCAGACCTGGGGCGTCTCTTCGAAGCTCCAGTAGGTCAGGGAGTCCTTGCGGGGGTATCCGGACAGCTCTGTCCTGTGGGAGCAGGGCAGGATAGTGAGGACCGCAGCCTGCGTTCCTGGGTCCTCGAGGTACTTAACGTCCCTGAAACTGAGCTTTTCGCATCCTAGGGAAGGAAACGGGGGCTTTCGCTTCCTTGGGAAGGAGTATGTGGGGGCTCAAGTACGGAAAGAGGCCCTGCCCTCAGATCCAGAATCCCCTCGACCCGCTGTGCAGGCTTCCTGTCCCTACCGCCGTTCCTGAGAGTTGACACTAAGGACTCCTGGGTGCTAAAAGAGGGAGGGGCTGGGGCCTGAACTTTGGGTTTTGCTGCTATAGGAGTCGAGGCTGAGACCACCGGGTCAGAGAATGGGAGCCAGCCCAGGGGCTCGGCGTGCACCGGCCAAGGCAGGAGGCGGTGCCGAGCGAGAGCCCGGCTTACTTGGGATAGAACCGAAAGTCCCGCGCCGAGGTGGTCAGATAGAGCTGGCGGCGGTCCAGGACGCCCCGGTCGGATACTGTGAAAGGCCGGCCAGACAGCTCGGGGTTCTTCGTCCAGGGAATTAGAGCCTGAGCAAGATTGGGGGAGGAGGCATACCCAAGACATAGATTTCCTACCCCGTTCAAAGCCCTAGTTTTAGCCCCGCAGCAGCTTCGGAGCCCTGAAGGTGAGTTTCTAGTCCCTGGTCCTTCTGGCCTGGCCTGAATGCCCAGCCCCTACCCCGGCTCCTCTAACCTCCGGATCCCGCCCCAGACCCTTTAGCCGCGCCCCAAGGGCATGATTTCTTCTGGCCCCGCCCCAGGCTCCCGGAACTCCGCCCCGTCTCGGCAGCGCCGGCTTCCACACCGCCACCTGGGAAGGCCCCCCGCGGTGGTGGTCTGCGAGTTGTAGGGGCTGGGCCCCGACGTATTCGGGTACGCGCGCGTCCGGGTCGGGAGAGCCCCTGTACTGCGCCCTCGTCTCGCTGCTCTGGTACTTTGTGGTCAGTGGGAGGCCCCAGCCGCGGCGTCTGAGCTGTGGAAAGGCGACCCGGAGACCCATGTGAAGGCGCAGGGGACTTAAATGCAGTCCCCTGCCCTGTCCCCCGCGGACTCCGGCACTCCCCAAACCTTACCTTTTCTCCTAAATCCTTGATACCTACAGTCCGTGTGGGGTCTGCAGGCTCTGGGGCTCTGGGCTGGGCGCAGGGCCCGCCATGGGTCTTGGGCACGTAGGCCGAGCCAGAGGTTGTCTCCCATCTGCTGAGGACCTCGTCGAAAGCCCAGATGCGAGAATCCTGCTTTGCAACCGGGGGTAGAGGGTCCGCGACCGTGGACTGGAGAGAAGGCGCTGCACATCAGCTAGACTCAGGAGTCTGTATCACCCCCCACCCCAAGCTCTGACCTCTTCCAGTCGGCCCCCAGCCCTTTCTCTGCAATCCCTGGCATCCAGCTTCCCTGGTGCCTCCTCTCTTAGACCCAGGACTCTAGGACCCTCCTCCTTCAGAGAGGAGTCCAAACTCCCAATCCCCTTTACTTAGCCCCTATCTTTCTGGGTCTCCAGGCCCCGCAGGGCTTCAGCCTAGGGTCTGCCCACCTGCACCGTGTGCGGGATGATGGGTACGGGTGGGATAATGCGGTGGGCAACGTAGCTGCTGGTGCGATGCCAGTTGGGCCTGGATCCAGGTACCTCGGTTGCAGAGATACGGCACCACGCTGGGCCACAGCACAGAGCCAAGCTGCCACCAGCCATAGTTTCACCTCCACCCGGTAGCCAAGCAGTAGCTGGCTTGTTGTGGTTGTTGCCCCAGGTGACAGAACCCGCCCACCCTGAACCTAGCCAATCGAGGGCCTGCAGACATGTGGATGGATGGAGTGAGAAAGAGACCCAGAGACAGAGGGACAGGGACCCCAAGAGGGGCACAGAGAAACACGGGGAGGGGGATGGAGACTCAAAGAGAGGAGTCGGAAAGGGAAGGAGAAGTTCAGAATTTCAGAGACCCAGTGGGTGGGGGACAGAGAAACCCAAAAAGAGGGATAGGGACCTGGAGGTGTCAAGATCCAGACAGAGAGACAGAGACCCCTGCACTGCACCTAGCAACTCAGGACCTCCATGAGAAACACCCCCCCTTTCTTCCAGGGCCCAGATGCTCCCGGCTACTTCCTCTGTCTACCAGGCCTGCCCACCTCGGGGTAAGGATTTCCAGACATCCCCTGGGCTCCCCGACCCTCCCTGCACGTGCTGAAGTAATCGGCACCAGCATTGGCTGTCCTGCCTGCCTTTGATTTGCCTGAAAAGTTCCACCTGGGTAGGCAGAGTGTGGAAAGAGGAGGGAACCACAGAGAAGTGCACAGGGACATAGCGAAAAAGATGGGCTTTGATGAGTGAGAAAGAAGTACAAGAGAGGAGAGAGACAGGAAGGAAGAAACAGACCACATTGGAAATGGAGCTATTAGGACTGACCCAGAGGCTAGAGCCACTGGAAGTTAGAGACAGAGAGGAAGGTGGCTAAAAAGAGCAAAATCACAGATAGTAAACAAGGAGATGTAGAAACTGAGGCAGTCACGCCCCAGCCCGCCCAGGGGCCTGGTCTGTGCAGATAGGTGGAGGGGATGCCTATGTCTTTTGCTCAAAGCTGGACCTGAGAGAGAGAGGGAGAGAGACAGACAGACAGATTGTGTGTGTGTGTGTTGGCAACACATATGGGGCGATGGGTAATACGTCATGGGCTGTTGTGAAGGCCTATGATCTCGCCCTGGCTTCCTTGTAACTTCTTCACTATAAAGAGCTTTTGGTCGCCAGGCACGGTGGCTCACTCCTGTAATCCCAGCACTTTGGGAGGCTGAGGCATGCGGATCACTTGAGGTGAGGAGTTTGAGACCAGCCTGGCCAACATGGCAAAACCCTGTCTCTACCAAAAAATACAAAAATTAGCCACGCTTGGTGGCGCGCACCTGTAATCCCAGCTAAGGCAGGAGAATCACTTGAACTTGAGAGGTGAATGTTTCAGTGAGTTCAGATTGCGCCACTGCACTTTAGCCTGGGTGACAGAGAAAGACTCTATCCAAGGCCGGGCGCGGTGGCTCAAGCCTGTAATCCCAGCACTTTGGGAGGCCGAGACGGGTGGATCCCGAGGTCAGGAGATCGAGACCATCCTGGCTAACCCGGTGAAACCCCGTCTCTACTAAAAAATACAAAATCTAGCCGGACGAGGTGGCGGGCGCCTGTAGTCCCAGCTACTCGGGAGGCTGAGGCAGGAGAATGGCGTGAACCCGGGAGGCGGAGCTTGCAGTGAGCTGAGATCCGGCCACTGCACTCCCGCCTGGGCGACAGAGTGAGACTCTGTCTCAAAAAAAAAAAAAAAAAAAAGACTCTATCCAAAAAAAAAAAAAAAAAAAGACTCTATCCAAAAAAAAAAGAGCTTTAGGTCAAGGCCTCTGCCTCCTCCACCCCCATTATCTCATCCCACCAGCCCATTCTTCAGACAAGGAAAACTGAGGCTGCCTTCTGCAGCCAGGCCCAGAATCCCACTTACCCCTCCTCCCCCATTCAGGCTTCTGGGGCCCTTCTGTTGGATTTTTCTGGCCCTACTCAAGGGCTCTCAAAGCACAGTGACCCCTGATCCTAGCCAGGAGGCAGGCTAGTTAGTCAGAACCTCATGCCCCACTCAAGCTGGACAAATTTTTTTTTTTTTTTGAGACGGAGTTTCACTCCTTTTGCCCAGACTGGAGTGCAATGACATGGCCTTGGCTCACTGCAAGCTCTGCCTCCCAGGTTTAAGCAATTCTCCTGCCTCACCCTCCGGAGTAGTTTGAATTACAAGCACCTGCCACCATGCCCAGCTGATTTCTTTTTATAATTTTAGTAGAGACGGGGTTTCACCATGTTGGCCAGACTGGTCTTGAGCTCCTGACCTCAGGTGATTCGCCCACCTCGGCCTCCCAAAGTGCTGGGATTACAGGTGTCATCCACCACACCCGGCCATCAAGCTGGACGATTTTAAGGTCTGTTTCTTTCCCAATGTAGGGTAAAAACTGGGACAAGGGAAAGGGCTAGAAACCTGACTCCATCTCCCCACCCAGGCCTGAACTCTCCAGCAACCTGATGACTTCTCATGCAACCTTGTTTGTACTCTCCCTGTGATAGGTGGCTCATTACCTCACAAGAGACTATTCTAAGCCAACGCCTGCCCCCTCTCACCAAGTAAGATTTCCCATTTGAACCCCAGCTCCCAGACACTTAAAGGCCTTCTGTGGACCACGTTCTCAAGGTCCCCTGGCCATCTGCTTGCATGTTCCAGTGTCTCTCCTCCTCTAACCACATCTTGAAACGTCCCCTCCAACTCTCCAGGATGAGCAAGGTGGTAACCTCTGAGACTAAGTAGTCAGTAACTTAACGCCAAGGGCCACCAATGATCAAATCCATGAGAGTTGATCTGAGGAGTTTTGTATTAGGACTAAGAAACAGTAAACACTCAGTAAATAGTGGCTTTTATTATCATCATCATCTTTTTCTTTTTTTTTTTTTTTTTTGAGACGAAGTCTCGCTCTTGTCCCCCAGGGTGGAGTGCAGTGGGGTGATCTCGCCTCACTACAAACTCCACCTCCCAGGTTCAAGCAATTCTCCTGCCTCAGCCTCCTGAGTAGCTGGGATTACAGGCACCTGCCACCACACCCGGCTAATTTTTTTTTTTGTATTTTTAGTAGAGATGGGGTTTCACTATGTTAGCCAGGATGGTCTCGGTCTCCTGACCTTGTGATCCACCCATCTCGGCCTCCCAAAGTGCTGAGATTACAGGCATGAGCCACCGCGCCCTGCCAATTTTTTCTATTTTAAGTAGGGACGGGGTTTCACCATGTTGGCCAGGTTGGTCTCAAACTCCTGACCTCAGGTGATCTGCCCACCTTGGCCTCCAAAAGTTCTGGAATTACAGGCATGAGCCACTGCACCTGGGTATCATCATCATCATTCTTACCCTCAAGTTGCTCCAGGAGAACTCCTATTCAACCTTCAAAACCCCATATGGGGCCGGGCGTGGTGGCTCAAGCCTGTAATCCCAGCACTTTGGGAGGCCGAGACGGGTGGATCACAAGGTCAGCAGATCGAGACCATCCTGGCTAACATGGGGAAACCCCGTCTCTACTAAAAATACAAAAAAAAAAACTAGCCGGGCGAGGTGGTGGGCGCCTGTAGTCCCAGCTACTTGGGAGGCTGAGGCAGGAGAATGGCATAAACCCGGGAGGCGGAGCTTGCAGTGAGCTGAGATCCGGCCACTGCACTCCAGCCTGGGCAGCAGAGCGGGACTCCGTCTCAAAAAAAAAAAAAAAAAAACAAACCCCATATGGTTTCACCCATCCTGCAGAGACTAAGCTCAAAATCATAGAATTGTGATTTTGTGATCATTTGATGAGTTCCCAAACTGGGATCCTTAGAGCAACTGGGCCCCCTGAGGTCTCTCGGCATCCAGTTCAGTTCTTTTCTGCCTGACCAGTTACTGGGCACGGGCCTCAGGCCCAGCCAGTCCAACTGAGGAGTGTGCAGGCACAGACAGTGTCAATTCGAATCCATCGCCAGCCCATACGGCCCTGGGCATCAGCGATCAATGCCCGTACATAGGACTGCTTGGTCTTGCACTCAGACACCCAGTGCCTTCGGTCCACACCCCGGCAGCCCCCTCCACCTGCCCCCGGGCCACCTTCCTCAGAGTTATCAGCCTTGCAGCAAGTTTCAAAGAAGTACTGGCGGAGGGGACTGCCACCAGCTGCAGGCACCTCACCCAGCACCTCCACCTCATGCCCACGCAAGTCCACAGCGGTCCGGGAGTCAGTCACCCAGCCGCTGACTGCGTCGCGGCCAGTTCACCCCGACGACTCCCTGGTGCAGTTTCGCTCACCCCACGCCGGCTGCGGTTGGCCAGGGTGCCTGCTGACTCTCGAAAGGCCCCAGCCTCCAGCAGGAGAAGCAGAGGGGGCCCAGCAGAAGCACCCCTAGACAGGACCACTCGGTGGGGGGGGGACAGAAGGTCCCACTCAGGGCCAGAAATGGGGGTAATGTTGAGGGTGAGGGTTGGGACTCAATTGGCACACTGGGGAGGAGGAAAAGGAGGAGGATGGGGAGGGAGCATGAGGGGAGGGGGAGCAGTTCTCGGAGCACCTGGAGACAGAGAGCAGGAGGCTGGGATTAGAGAAGGGGGTGAAAACTTCAGTGGGGACAGAAGTTGGAAACCCCAGGGGAGGCTTGCCTGCCAGGATTGTGGGGAAACTCTTGTTCTAGAAGTTTGGGGGATCCTATATCTAACACTTGCATAACGCCCAAATTGTAGATTAATAATAAATATACAACTACTACTGTGACTCACGCCTGTAATCCCAGCGCTTTGGGAGGCCGAGGTGGGCGGCTCACATGAGGTGAGGAGTTCAAGACCAGCCTGGCCAACTTGGTGAAACTCTGTCTCTACTAAAATTACAAAATTAGCCAGGCATGGTGGCACACGTGACTATAATCCCAGCTACTCAAGAGGCTGAGGAAGGAGAATTGCTTAAAACCAGGAGGCAGAGGTTGCAGTGAGCCAAGATTGTACCATTACACTCTAGCCTGGGCAACAAGAGAGAAAATCCATATCAAAAATAAATAATAATAATAGAATAAAAATAAGTATTCAACTACTATTACTTAATAGCAACAGATGATGAAATACAGGCTCAGAGAAATTAATGATTTGTGTCCGGTCACACAGCCAGCAGATGGCACACATGGGACTTAAAGTCTGGGTAACTGCACCCTGCCATCCTTCCTGTA